TATTTATTATAATATTATGAATAATTAATTAAACTATCATAAAAATTCAACAAGAATAAAAATCGATGCTTCATGACTGAAATTAACAAAAAAAAAATTTTCTATATAATATTATTCTAGGTCTCTATTTATTATACTGTTACATTTTTTAAATACATAATATGAATGGACAGCAATGTTTTTTGCCACATAAAAACCTAACTAAAATATTTTAAGTGTAAATTAAAAAAAAAACTTGTTCTGACATATAAACTCTTTCGATTGATGCGAATTTTACCTTATTCTATAAAAAAAAACAATTCCACACTGTTTATATTTTTCCCCTTTTCCACCGATTCATAATTAAGTGTAGATTAACGAAGTACGATAAATTGATTTTCGCAAATAATGTTTGTCATAAATTCATAATTAAACGAAATCTAATAATAGCAGGTGAAACCTCACGCCGGCCAGTATACCGGCTACCGCTGGACCAATCAGCTCTGATTAAATTGTCCTAACAGCATCGTTAATTAAAACAGGTTATTAATTAGCTAAAATTAATTAATGCAAATGCATCAACCTGTTCCATGTTGTGTCAGCTATTGTTATCTTTATATAGAATATGCTAATATCATAATGAGAAAAAATGATTTATCTCGATACACGGAAAAACTACTAAAGTTTCTTTTAACGAAAAACAGTCGTAGAAGACTAGCAGACAGTTATTTAGGCTATTATTTCATTTGTTATTCCTATGCTTAAAAAAAAAACAAGTGAAACCGGAGCGAATGATTAGATACGAAAGAGTTTGAATATTAAAGGCACACAGTAAGCGATGCGGAGCCAAAGTGAGTATTACGCGTTAACAATACGATAATCGTAAGCTTCTTCGTACAAGGTTTGGTTTAAAATAAAAATTAGAATCGGTCTAATTTCGAGGAGGTGTCACTTCTTACTAAGGGTAGGGTAGGGTTACAGTATACAGTAAGCTAAGGATGATAATAAGGATGTGCTATTATTAGTAGTAGACAAAAATCTTTATTATATTATTACAGAGTATAAATTGTGTGTAGTGTACCTATTTATTTATTGTTATTCTATTACACTTTAATATTTTATTTACATTATATTTCACACATCAAATACACACAACACACACACATACGCACTCAAAATAAATTATTAACAATCATCATCATCATCATCAGCTCACTATACGTCACCACCGAGGGACTCGGAGCCTACCCCAAGTTAGGGTTGACTAGGCCATACTTAACCACGCTGGCCATGTGCGGGTTGGTTGACTTCACACATATCTTTGAATTTCTTCTTAGATATGTGCAGGTTGGATCACGATGTTTTCCTTTACCGTAAGAACGTCGGATAAATGTACATATGTAAATCGAAAATCACATTGGTACATGGCGGGATTCGAACCCAGGACCTGCAGATTGCAAGTCAAGTGTTTGACTCCTGAGCCACCGACGCTCAAAAAAAAGTTCATAATAAATGATATAAAAATATAGTGTAATTTGCAAGATGTACTTTTATTTTCCTATAATAATTTACTAATTGGTTACTCACGAATGGCGGAGACGACATAACCATTAATTGATACATGGAATTTTTGGCCTCAACGGCCCAATCGACAACATGGCTGACTAAACAATATATTATAATTGACAGCAACAACACAACACACTAACTAGCATGAAAGTGATGTATTATGCCAATTAAAATCACTAATATCTTTCATTTAATAAAGCAACAAAATACTAGGCCTACACGACACATATTGTTTTGCAAAAAATGTAATAAATTACATTTATCAAATCTTATTACAATGATAAAAAAAACCTTAAAATCATCAGAGATAGCGATTGTAAATTAAAAACAATAAGCATGATAGGCTGCAATATTAATAATTAGCTATTTCCCGTGACTTCGCCCGCGCATATATAAAATTAAATCTAGCAAAATTATAGCCTATGTCAACCGGGGATAGCGTAGGTTACCACCAGTGTAAGAATTTTTCCAATCGGTTCAGTAGTTTCGGAACTTATCCATTAGAAACAAACAATCAAATCTTTCCTCTTTATAATATTAGTATAGATGACTATTGTAAAAATCTTTTGCGACGTTGCTAAGCAATATAATAAAATAGAGCTATCATTATAGTGGTATTCCTTTAAAACCAAAGTATGTGATGATAAAGGCGTACAGAAAAAGCTGAAGTAAATAAAGTTTCCGAACAGAACCGAAGCGAACGTTAATTCGTTTTGTAAACAGCCATTATATACAAGATAAGCATTAAAATGTTGTCCCTTAATTGTGCCCGGTAATTATAAGACAAGAAGCAGTGTATATAATTAAAACGAATGAAGCATTGGCCCGCTCTCTCTAGCCTAGTGATGTAGCTCTAATGAGCCACTTGCTAATTAGAGAATAAACAAGCCGGATACGGGATTCTAATTAGCTTTTGGGACAGCCGTGTCGCGCTCCCGCGATACTCATACCTTTTTAAACGAGTAAAAAAACTGTCACTTTGTGCCACAGATTATACTCTGTGAACTTAAAGCATTGCATTATTTAAATAATCATTAAAATCCACCTTCTTGGAGATTTTCGGTCATGCATTTTTGTTGAGACGATAAACACTGGTTTTTTTTTTATTTCTGTTTTTCTTATATGGAATTCCATTATTTTCATCGACATAATTTCTTAGTATTACTAGCAGTCCTTAATTAAATTACCTCTTAAAAACTTCATTTTTTCTCCATTCTGCTTCTAGTAATGTGAATGCATTTATTTTTAATTAGGCTCTCAATAAATTAATACTAAGTTTAAACGCAAATGTGCAATTATAATTTATTATTCAATATTAACAGGGTATTTATAGCTCCTTTGATACTTAGCCAACTATAAACTTAGAAAAATAAATTAAAAAACATTGAGGTTTGGAACAAACGATAAGAACGAAATTGTCATGTATTACAATTGAGTAATGTTTCTGGCGGAATTTCTTGTTTTTTTGACAACCCTACATAAACCAAAATATGCTTTTGAGTTACAAACAAATTGCATTTATTTATTTTATATGTTTAACTAAAACTTTAATCAACTTCACTATATTTTTTTCTTAACAACGCTCAATAATTGGCTATGTACTTTTTCATATAAGATTTTTACATTAAAACTCGTATTCTGTTTTAAACTTTGAATAGGAATTTATCGTATCTTACTAATCTTACTTCTTACTAATATTATAAATGTGAATGTTTAAATGAATATTTGTTTGAAGGTATCTCCAGAACGGCTGAACGGCTAATTTGGTATAGATATAGAACATAGTCTGGAAGAACACATAGGCTACTAATTATTTTTTTTTTGTAATTCCGCGCGGTTGGAATCGCGGTCGACGGTTAGTTCACTAATAAAATTCTTATACTAGACGTTTTAATAACATACATATGTAAATATTGAAGAGAATGACGTCTAATGTAACATTTACTTTTTATCAATACTATTAAACAACGGAAATGAAAACTAGTTTAATTAAATAACAATGCTTTTTCTAAACCGGAAACTTTATCAATAACTATTCAGTACAGACACAATGAATCATGTCTTATCATAACGCCTACATGGTTATTTTTAATTTTAATTGACTAATTTAAATACTAATTTGTGTTTTGTATTATTTGTATATTAATTTAAATTTAATTTTTAATTAAAACAAATGAATTTAAAAGTTATTTATAATAATTCATTTGTAAAAAATATATTTTGTATGCACATTAATGTAAAAGACATTTATTTATTTTGCAGTTATAGTATTCGATTATGTTTTGAGACATCTTTTGTAATAATCGATGTAATTTAAAATTATAATTTTACTAAAATTATAGATGTCTCATAGATGCTTAAGCTATTTTTTCACACGTAGTACCTTTCGTATAAAGTTAACACGATATTACTTTTTTATTTGCAATGAATAATAAAACTTATTACTACACTGTCTTTCGTCATTGAAATCGACTCATCAATGAAAAACGAAGTTACTAAGAATTTCCAACGACTTTTAATAATAATATTTATCAGACAAATTTAATCTTATTTCTATTATTATCAAATAAATCGCGCAATAGATAAATTTATAGAAAGTTGTAATAAAATAATTTGTACAAGCAACGCGTTAACCGGCAACTGAATAACCAATATCGTTCCATTAGATGTTAATTCACTACTCCTATCACCCCACAGTCCATTTAATACTATTAAATAAATTATTCAACGTCGGTATAATTAAAGCCACACATCGATCGGAATAAACCGAATAGATTCAATTATGCCAATTAAAATTCCCAATGCACTTTGTTGCATTTTCTTTAGATTGCATATTTTCATTACAATGCATTTACAAATGTAATTAACAGTTTTATGATAATGATTTACATTTTTCCTTTAGTTTCTAAAGATAAATATGAATACAATAATGTTTAAGACATTTGTTATTGTACGTCTCTTGACAAAACGTTTGTAATTTGTTTTGTGTCCGTGAGACCTTTTTAATGACTTTAATTAAATAAAATTCGTCGTAAATAAGTTTCATCGGAATCACCGCCAAAAGAAATTTCTTTAGAAAATAGATTTAACTCCTTATCGACTGACGTAGATATGACTGGCCCCTCTGATATCACTAGGAAAAAAGAAAATAAACCTCCACCTCTTATACTATATGGCATAGAAGATATAAACAAATTAATTGAAGCACAATAAGTGTAGATGAAAATGAGTCGAATAGAA